TAGCCTACCCAACTGCATGTTTTCATACTATAGAGTTTCTTGATTATAAAAAAATTTATTGATATTCCTACTACACAAAAAATCAATACGTAATAATCATTATATTTATATTCATTTCTCCATAGTAAGAATTTTAATAGAATAAATATTATATTGACAAAGGTTTATTGATATTTTCGATGGTCGAACTATGATGTATGTAACTATTATACTGTCGTGCATTTGACATTTCTACTTTAATTTTTTTTAATTTTTATAAGAATTTCCTATTTCATCAAAAAATCACTTAACTCAATTAATGTAATAAACTTTATGTTTTTAAGTATAAAAAATTAAAAAACTTACGTTTATTACAAAACATTTCATGGCTTACTTATTTGCACCACGATACTTGTATGGTTAAAGAACAAATATATTTTTGATTGAATTTTAACTGAAAATGTAAAAACTACTTGATGGTTTCAGATTAAAAGGAGAGCTGGTGAAACATGTTTCACTACTGCTTCTCATTCAGGGTGAAGGCCTATTGTTTACAAACTTCCCTGGTCCCTCTGATTGCGATTACATCATGATTATGCGAGTTTAAGGTTGGCTGGAACACCGCTGCTTCTCTAATTTACGATCTGGTTAATAAAGACTTTTTTTCAAAGCAGATGAGACCTTGAGGAGACCTTGTCCTATGTACCTCACGTCATTTCTCATGCTGTATTTTGTATAGCTTTACGTTAACTTTTTACTTCGTTAATCATGTATTAGACACAGTGTTCCGAGAATCAATTGTACCATATCTCTTGTACTGTTAACTTCAGTGTTTTTATCCATAAATGCCACAACAAGTGCCTCTCGTATGATATTTAACAAGTATTCATAAAAAACAGCTTTGTTTATTTTTTATCTGATTTGGGGATTTTTTTTTAATATCGACCAATTTTCCGGCTTTAAAATGACCCTCCTGTCGGTGCATTTATTGTACAATATTGCTATCAATTGCTATCAGGTACTAGAGATGAACAACATTTTTTCCAAATAAGCTATATTTCATAAAATTAATTGCACTTGTCTGTCAAAAAAAAAAAAAAAAAACATTTTTTCTTAGTTTATAG